GTGAGAGTGTTTTTCATCATTCGAATTTTGACGAGCGATTTGCACCGGCCGAGTTCCTCAGGAATGGGCCCGAAGAAGTGGTTATCCATCAGAATCGCCGTCTTCAACTGCCCTCCTTTGCACAAATCCCGAGGAATCAACCCGGTGATGTGGTTTCCGGTGATATCGAGGTCCTTGAGCCTTCCGTTCCGGCCGAGATTCTCCGGCAGCTCGAACGTGAAGTTGTTCTCCCAAACCTGAAGCACCTCCAGATGAGGAAAATCACCGACGAACCTGGGAATTGGGCCGTAGAGATTGTTCTTGTACAAATTGATAAGCGTGATGTTCTTGAGCTCTGAGAAGCTCTGGGGTATCTCTCCGGTGAGATCGTTGATGGAGAGATCCAAAGACATGAGGCTGACCAAGCCAGATAGTTCCGGAGGTATGCCGCCGCTGAGACGATTGACCTGTAAAAACAGAGAGTTCAAATTCTTCAAAAGGCTGAGATTGGTGGGTATGGTGCCGCTGAGGTTACAGCTGGCCATGTCGAGGACCTGCAGAGAGCTCAACGATCCCAACTCCGGCGGAATTCCGCCGTCGTAACTGTTATAGTAGCCGACGTACATTTCCTTGAGATTTTTCAAACGAGCCAAGCTCGCCGGGAACTTTCCGGTGAGCCAGTTGCCGTTAAGGCCTAAATGCTCCAAGCTCTGCATCTCCGAGTAAGTCTCGGGGATGTTGCCGGTGAAGTAGTTCCCGCCTAGTTGGAGATGTTTGAGGTTTTTGAGATTGACGATCTCCAGAGGAAGTGTGCCCGTGAAGTTGTTGTTGTAGGCGTCGAGAACTTGGAGCTCCGTCATTTGGAGCGTGATATTGCCGGGGAATCTGCCCCTGAAGACGTTGTTGGAGATGTTCAAGTGCCTGAGAGCGGTGAGGTTGGCCATCTGCATTGGAAGCCTCCCTGTGATGTTGTCTCCGGCGATTGTGAGGTTGACGAGCTTGTTGAGGAGCCCAATCTCCGGAGGAAGAGTGCCTAATAGAGGCTGATTGGAGACGTTGAGAGCAACCACTCGGAAGTCGCGGTCGCACGAAACTCCGGAGAAGGAACAGTGAGATGAGGGAGACAACGACGAAGTGTTCCAGTCCTCGAGGCCTGAACCTTTGGGTCCAATCATGGCGGACTTGAGTTTCAACAGTGCGTGAAGGTCACTGTATCCGCCGCAGGCTGAGCACAAAAGGAAAATCATAAAGCAAATGGTGAGAATCTGGCAGCAACTGGAGCTTACCATCTTTAATTAATGGTGATGTTGGTTCCTTGTTTCGTTGTTTCTGTTTCTGCAGATAGCGTTACTTGTATATATGCGAAGTTGAGCACAATGCAATAATATGGTGGTTTGGCCTTTTGGGAAATTGGGAGGAGAATCGAAGAAGTATCAGCGTCAAAGTTGAATAATAATTATAATAATGGATAAACAAATGGAAAAACTGGGAAGTGATGAGAGTGGGAGAAAGCGAGTTGCATCTTGCATGAGGGAGGGACGCTTCTGATTTCATGTCCTATGGCAAGCATTAGCTATAGGGGTCTGTCCAGTAAGACCGGGCAGTTTGGGTTGCGGGCCCCACAGTACCCTACTCAGTTCACGGTGCTAGACGGATGGTTAAGTCTGTGTGTGGACTAGGGCGCGCCTTGTATATTGGTAGTACAGGTACAGGGCAGACTGTAGTGGACGTTGAGATTGACGGCGTTAATGGGTTGTACTTTTTCCTCTCTCAATGGGATATGTGTGTTTTGACGGCGTGATGGGTGGTCGTCTCAATGACAGATACTTGATAATATTGCTGCTGGCAGTGGCAGAGATGTCTCTTCTCGTCCCTGCCCTCCCGTGTCAGCTTCACCAGTTTTACTTTGACGTGATATAATTTCTTCCTCCTTACTTACTTACTGACTAATCCCAGTTTAAATCCTTGTTTTTTAAGAAGTTTTAGATTCTATGTTTCATGGTCTATGATAGTGATGATGAATCAAAAATATGTCCGCTATGTTTTAAATACATTTTTGTTGCGTGGCTATTAGCTAGCTAGCCAGCCTTTTGGATTTTAGTGATATAAATGTGTGTCTTTTTTTTGGGCCAGTGTTGAGAAACAAAGGTGGATGCGGATGCTGCCTTTCTGAAAAGTGAGGGAGGAAGGATCTGAATGGGCTTGGGGCAAAGCTGGGCCCAGAGTAAAGAGTGTGTGTGTCTTTTCCCAGACGGTCAAATTTCCCTCTGACTCCATTTGGCTGTGAGCTAAAAAGTCCACTCTTCCTCTCTGTCCTTCATTTATCTGTCCTTTCTTTAGCCTCTTTCACCGATATGGATCCTTGTGTCATGGATGGGCCATGCATGGTAATTTGACCACTTATTAATCTTGTGGATGTGAGTTATGAATTATAGTGTCAAGTGAAACACCATGAACACCATTCACCATTGTGTTGTGTTGTAGACGACTTTGGTTAAAATAGTATACTTGTTTGACGACTTTATAAGAAAGTTGGCTTTTGTGGATATGGAGCTTCTTTTGATCATTTATATGCTAAATATGAAAGTGATGATTCTGGTTCAAGTGGTTCAAGTATATTACTTGGGAATTGGGGGGAGGATCTGATTCCATGGCCGCACAAATTGTCACAACAGAGACAAAGCATTGATTCTTTCGTGTTTTCCTCCAAGCCTAGTTTTCTCCACTAGATTGGTTGGTTGGTTCGAACTTGGATGGATTGGAGAACAGATTCATATTCTCTCTCAGTCACTGTGAGAGTGTTGGAGAATAAAGACGGCTATTGATTTTAAAACCATAATAATAGCTATTAGTTTTATCAAAGAAAAACGAAAAGGAGGAGAATTTTCTTTCCTCCTTTAAAATGCAGCTTTTTAGTTTTGGGGTACTTGATACTTGGAAGAAGTCAAATTTGCCAAGTGCAGGCATAGTTTAAGCTGCTGGGTGGTGATGATTATTTTAGTCTGATATTCATCTTTCTTTACAGATTTAATTTGTTCCTCAAACAAGGTGCTACGCTCTATCCTTTATACTTGTAATTTTTAAGAGCATCAAAAGGTAAAATCATGGAAGGTTGGTTTCGTTTGGGACCCAAAAGAATGGAAGCATGGTTGGCTTTGGTACAAGGGAACCCCACCACAGCACGAATGAATGAGGATTGAATTTCAAGTCAGACTTCTCCTGGAACAAGTTGAGCCTAAAAGTCTAGCACTAGCTAAAAAGCCCTAGCTAAAGGGTGAAAAGACTCATCTTGCATTTCAAGCATTGGCGCGTGTTTGAGTGAGTCCACAGAGGTCCATACAAACGCACATGCTCGGCTTGGGGTCCAAAGGAAGCTTCAAATTTGTCTCTTCTTTGCTGCAAAATTCACGGCCAACAGTTGGAGCAATCAAAGTTATAATAATTTCAGAATGGGAATTTGGGTATTTCATTGGTGACTGATGTTTAATTACTTTTAAACAATGGATTTCTTTTATTCGTTTCAAATCAATTATGCTTATTCACAATGGGGTATAGTTAATGGAAAATGACTTTGAATTACATATTAGTGGTCTCATATTCAAATTTTTATGATAATTTGATAGTGTGTATGTGAGATTCTTCTTTTTTTAGTAAGAGCATCCACAGTAGAGGAGTGTAAATTCGGAGGTGTAAAGTCACTTTTACATCCTTTTTACACCTCTAAGGGTGTAAATATGTTTTTTGCTCTAATAGGGTGTAAATTTGGAAGTGTAGCCGTGGGTCCCAGCCTTTTATGCTGACTTTTCTTTATTTTTCTTCTCTTTTCTCTGATGGATCCTGCCTGTAAGGGATGTAAAAATAGATATAAATATACATTTTATTTTACATTCTCATGGTAATGATATATATTTACATCCATTTACATCTCTCCATTGGAGACGATTCCGGTGACTCGAGATGTATATTTAATATACACTCTTATATACACCCCTTACTTTGTATGTTCTAATTTAGACCATTACTTATATTCAAAAATAAAATAAAATAACATCATCGTTGTCATTCATCAGGAGGTTTCAGTTCAGCCTTGAGATGAGATGAGATGGCATGGGAGGGGAGGGGAAGGTAGGGAAGCCGCCTATGAATAACAATGATGGCCTACTTTTACTTATTTTGGTAAAGACGACACACTTCTCTTTCATTTCGATTCGAATTATACGCGGAGTTGATAGAATGGGATGATAGGGAGGGAGCAGCAGATGATTTGCCCTCCCGTCATTCAAAGAACAACTTTTCAACATTGCAAATGATGGTGATGATGAATCATTCTCACCCAAGTGAACCAGTGTCCAGTGTCCAGTGTCCAGTGTTCAGTGTTCAATCAAATAGAGTATAAAGTCGGCAAAGGGTCACATCCACCGTTCAGTCTCGGGCTATATTTCAATTCACGGCCCCCAATTTCCTATAGACAAAAAGGGTTGCAGTGTGGGTCTGAACAATTTTGAGCTGTACCATTTGATCACAATTGATCAACTTTAATGGGGCCTTTTTATTTCTGGCACCCAAGTGAACTGGGATACAACCAAAGCTTTTGTGTTGCCCAACCCAGCAGATTTACTTGGCCAAGGAAATAATAAAATAGTGGAAAAGAAAGGGATTATATTGTGTTACGCATTAATATTTCTAACTCGAGAAGGCAAAGGCAACACAGAATCAAAATCAATCATCTATTCTTTTCGTCCCTAGGAAGCATGAAATTATTGAAATGAAATATACCCATTAATATAATTTAAATTGTCTGGCAGGGTGAAGTCAATAGCAGGGGTAAAATGGTGAAATCGATACGAAGCATCACATAAACGCACAGGAGATGATCTGAACGAATCTGGAATTTACAATAAATTCTTCTTCGAACTAAAGACAAACTGTCTACTCTGGCAACATATATCACTTGTACAACGAACTTGAAAGCAAACAAAACTAGAAAACTTGGACAGGTTTTAACCCATTTCTACCCAATCTCTACTGCAATCACCTAAGATGTTCTCCACTGCAGCTCAATTTGAACCCGTCCATTCTTTGAGTCAATCAGATGGTATTTTTCATTGATTCTTCTATTGCTAACAACATCCGCCAAGTTTATATCCACATATCCAAGAGTTTCCTGATTGCAAGAAAAACACCAAGATGGTTATTTTAAAACACAAGTCTACCACATATAGGATGAATTTGTTGCAGCAGTGTTTTAAGGGATGAAGTGATCTTTATGGTGGCTGCAATGTGTACCTTGGGATGCAACAGGCCCATCCTTGAGGAGATGCTAATTACTTCAACATGAAGCCTATCGCTTTTAGGTGGTTCGTCTAACATAAACTGAAACTCCTCTTCCCATCTTGGATCACGATTTTTCTTGATCATCTGTGTCAGTACCCAATGAAACTGTCAGTTCATATACAAAATGACAGTAGCAAAATCAAATAAAATGAACGGCATTCAATCTTTTCGTATTGTATCAGCATCACAGTGGGTCGGAGGGAAACCCAATACATATCCATAGCAGTTTCATCTATCATCCAAACTTTGTATTAACTAATACACATGCATGAACATCAATAAAGTGATACTATGTATATCGAATGCAGGATTTAACTATTTCTTCTCATTTTTCGACAAGCTAGGAATGCAGAAGTGAACCTGTAAAAAGTTGGGCCACAACAAATTAAGTTTTCATATAGGAATATGATGCCTCCTTTCCTCTCTATGCTTCTTTAGCATACAACAACTATAAACAAGAACAGGAGATACAACAAAAAAGACAAGGACAGCAACATCAGACTTATATACCTTGGTTCTTCTCTCCTCTCCTCTGAAGAGTATTCGCACTTGTGGGTTAGTGTGGTGCTTTCCTTCCACATCTTCAGCTTCATGGACTAAAACTACAAGCACCCCACCACCTGCAGGTGTTCCTTCAGGAGCCTTTTGTATGGCATTTGGATCTTCATCATCTTTAGGCATCTCATCCTCCTTAAAGGGTTTATAGATCAGTTCCACAACAAGCTGTCCACGTAACTTCTCATTTTGAGCATCATTTGCGTCCATGTTTTTCAGTATGTCAACAGTCACAACTTTAGGCTCATCGGGTGTAAGATCCTTTAGCGGAATGACATTCATACCCATTTTGTCGTGTTTGCCAATCTAAGGAAAATGAAACCCACATTATGATAAATATAAGGAGGAAAAGGTAGAAAATACTACTTAAAATCTAAAGGTACACTCTGGGCTTCTCGCTTATGCAGGTTTCTATCCATCGTGGAAAAATAAATAATCGCGTTAAAAAAATACCAGGCTATGGAAAATGTGTCTACTTCCTTTCACAAGTCCAAACAAATAACCATACCTTTTCCCAATCATAAACTACAACCTCTAATGCTTGAGTCCCTGGGTCTCTGACAACCCAATTAAACTCTTGATTCCATTCTGGGTTCAAATTGTTGTGTTTCACAGCTGTTTTCTTTGAAGGAAGCTTGTCCTCAGTGAGCTTGAGTTTCAAATAAGGATCTGCTGCTCCTAATAAATCTTTCTTTCTAAGCTTTATTGCCTTTATAACTTTTACATGGAGAACTCCAACAGGTTTCCTCATAGCCCTGACAGAAATAAACAAAATTATTAAGTCACAACAAACGACTTTACACATTTAGTCGAAATTAAACCATCACACACTTACATTGTAGGATCCATGATTGGTACTTCTAGGGCTTTGGGCCATAGGTACATGTTTGCCACTTGATCTTTAATAAGCTCCTGTGGAATCAAACAGGATTTTGAACACAGAAGTAAGCAAGACGCAATAAGAAAACCAAGTTTAAAGTAAGATATTCCATGAAAAAGTAATCAATGCATCTTGTTTTTTATTGCAAGAAGTCATAACTTGATATAACATAAATACTAATCATCTTTCGACTTACAAACATGGACATATATGATGCAAACACCAATCAAATCATAGCTTAACCTCTGTAAAAGTTAAAAAATTTACCTGGACAAACCTATATAGGCCAGGAATAGACATAGCATCTGCGCCAAGTAGTTTTAATCCAAAGTCAACATGTGGCTGCAAAATCATAATGAGATAGCTGAGAAGGGAAAATAAAAACCAAAACAAAATCGAAGTAAGGAGACGGGATATATGCCACATTATAGATAACACAACAGAAATATAATTCTGGAGGGTATGATCTTCCACATCCAAAACCCCAGTAGAAATCTCTAAAGTCAGAAATATAAATATATATACTTCTCAATTTCAATTAAATTGAGGCCATATGGAATCAAAATTTGGAAAATAATGCTGTTTTGAAAATATTACACATTTCCGACTAGAAATGATAGGTACCAGACTACCAAACCCCAGAATGTTGCATATTTAGTTATATAAATATACCATGTCCCCAACTACCAACTAACTAACTGCTGTAATTCGTAAAACAATCATCAAGCATGTTAGCAATATGAAAATGGAATCAGAACCATACCTTCTCCATTAGAGACACAAAAATTTTTGAAAAACAAGGAAATGCTGGAACCAAAGGCTTCATGGTGATACGTGGAGAAGCAAACACTTGCAAATCAACCACCTACGACAAATCCAAAGAATCAATGCTCCATTCAAACTTTGAAACCAGCAATAACTCTCTACTCAGTACTTGTATTGTAACTATTGATTCATGTGTGTGCCTGTGTAAGGAGCGTGTGTCTAGATGTAGACTTTAAAATATACTAATTCTTTAATGGCACACACCTGAACTGTGGCTCTCAACCCAAATGCTTTAACTGCAACAAGGATGTTTGGATTGCCTGCCCACTTCATTGATAGTTCCATTATCAATTCCTTCTCACCAGTGATATAGACTTTTATTCCTGGCATATAATGAAAACCAAGAATAAGTAGTCCGCAGTAGACTTGCATAGCAGGGGAAAACAGAACAAAAGTCCCAAATAAGCCGGACAGAAAATTTAAGGTGGATATCATCCTGTTCACAATCTGCTAAATCAAAAGGAACAACAACCGAAAAAAAGGTGACAAGAAGCATATAACTGAGGGATGGGATCACGAAAACGCAATGCAGTTGTACAGTTGTGTGTGTGTGTGTAAGAGAGAGAGAGAGAGAGAGAGAGTGAGAGAGAGAGAGAGAGTGAGAGAGAGAGAGAGAGTGAGAGAGAGAGAGAGTGAGAGAGAGAGAGAGAGAGTGAGAGAGAGAGAGAGAGTGAGAGAGAGAGAGAGTGAGAGAGAGAGAGAGTGAGAGAGAGAGAGAGAGAGAGAGAGAGAGAGAGAAGAACCTTGAAAAGTTGGTGGTAAGGAGCCCAAGGAAAGTGCTTCAAACTCAACGGAATCAATTTTGTATTTTGGAATTTGCTCAGCAATAATGGGCTTTGCTATGGTCCTTGCAGTTTTGCAAATTGCCTGAAAAATTGTACCATTAACACTCAACACAAAAGACTGAGTAGAAACACCCCAAAAGAATATCCGAACACTGTTATAACAGGTATGCATACCTTGTCCAGGTAAGGCCACATAAGCTCAATAAATTTATTAAGCCAGTCAACCTTCACATAAACAAAACTATGATAAGCTTCTTGTGACATTTGGAACACAATATATCAATGTGGGAAACTAAAATTTCAAAGATTAACATACACGATCATAGTCTGGATTTTTAACCCACATGGGTATCTCCGGAAGCAGCCGTTGCAAAGTATTTGAATCTTGCTCAACCAAAGGACGAATACCAGGATCCTAGATTCAATATCATTAGCAATTAGATATAATAGGGGATTCAATATCATTAGCAATTAGATATAATAGGGGAAATGCAACTTAATAAGTAGGGTTTTTTTTTTCGATATACAGCATTACACATAAGCTCAAACTTGGTTTTAAAACATAAAAATTGACATGTTTTCGTTGTCTATGCAGCAGTAGAAGCACGGAAATACAGAAAGGGGGACAATTTAACCAAACAAAACCAGAATTAGCAATGAAGAGGAAGGAAATTGAAGAAGAAGAAAGGAAGATAGAGCCGACCTTGACGTCAGTTGGCTGGAAGTAGATGAAGAGGTAATACCCGATCACAAGCCCAATTGAAGTTCCAAATCCAAAACCGCAAAACCCCAAAATCGAACTCAGAATGCCCATCTTTAATCTGCCCTCAGAGTCTCAGACCAGCCGAAATCTCTCAGAAATATACAAGAAAAAAGATGGTAAAAATGGAGTCCGAGTAAAAACGCCTCTTGAACTACAACTCTACGACTAGGAGAGGAAAAACAGAGAGACTGTAATTGAAGAAAATGATCGCATCAGATCACATATCTGAATTGCTGTGAATTCTTAAACTCATCATGTTTGAGGGTGTGAGTGTAGGACAAAGAAAAAACATGGTTAGCCGCTTGGAGTGGTAAGACGACAATCCTTATCTGAAAAAGCATTAAAGGAGGTGCATTTATTCTTGGGGAGAAGTCTTTCACTTGATCCACACACACACACACACACATAACACAACCGCTGGCGTGGGGTTCAATTCTCTCAATTGTCGGTAACGCCTAAGTGCTTCTTTGGAGCGCTCTGATGTCTCATCTACCTCTCTCTCTGTCCAATTTCAATATCATTTGTTTCACAATAAAGACAGGGCCCGTTTCCGGTTACAACGTTACGCGATCGTGGGGAAATTTTAAATTAGTGAATTAATAAAAATATCTAAAAGGCGGATAATGACTGCTTTCTATTTTGGGCTTTTGGCTTCTTGCTATTTTTATTACTTTTTTCGCCTTTTAATTCTTTTTTTTATTTACATTATTACAATTACGGTTATATAGTACTTGCCTTCCATCTTATCCGTTCCCAAGTTGACTTTTTTTGCATCAAAATTTGACTCCTAGATTTGCCGACACCAAAAGAATAGACATTGGGTAAGAATCTAATGTAGTCCTTACCGCCAGTATATTCTTCGTTTTTTTATAGGCTGTATTTTTCAATATTATAATGAGGAACAGTTAGTTTTGTTGTGAATAATTATATAACCATGTATTTTTTTCTTCATACAAGCTATATGAGAATGGAACCTAGCACTTTGATGGCATGTTTACTAATTCGTAATTGGATTAGGATGAATTGAATTGATGACAAATTAAGTTGATGAGGAGTTGGATTGAGGAGAATTAGATTTCGGATTCCTATTGAAATTGTTTACTAAACCATATGGAATGAGGGTAGGCGTGGTACTAATTACTAAAATGTCATCATTGTTAGGTTAAAGTATATGGCAATTTTGGAAGTTTGAAAATTTTGTGAGGATATAATGGGTAAAAAAAATGAATTCCTAATAGATTAGTTCTTTAGGAATTAGAATATCACATCCCACCCAAAAATTGAATTTATCTAAAATCATGAATTCAATTCCTAATTTTGTGTGGGGTCCACTTACTTTTCAATTCCTTAATGTGAAGTAAACGCATGAATTCTCCATAGGTGGAATTCAATTCTTGATGAAAATTCTAATTCCTGATTAGTAAACACACCATGAGTGTAAAGTAAACGCTTATAATTACTTGAAGTACAAACAACCCTAAAACAATAAGAGAAATATTTTTCTACTAAATCAATGTCCATTGAAGAAAAGCCCATTGAAAAGGACCTCTTGGGCGACTGCAACCCTTTCGTATTTTTTTGGTCAAATTAGGAGTTACACCTATATTATTTACTCCATCAAGTATTTTCATAAAAGATGAAAATCTCTGAATCAACAATCAGATGCATATGTACTCAAACCAGCAATAAAGATTTGTTGCTCAACGACAGAAATTGCAAATCCGCATCAAAAGTCAAAAGCCAAAAGAAAAGAAAATATCATAAACAAAAAATCAAACCACATCAAACTCCTAAATAGTTATGGAAATTATTAGACTCAAACAAACTTAGATACAAGACCACCGCTCCACATACTCTCAAGCAACCTAAAGAGAACCATAACGTCATATCGACTTAACCCATAATGCCACACCGGCTAAATCCGACTCGACCCAACCCGACATCATCTCTGTTTCGTAGCTCCAAATATATATCGAAGGCTAACAACTGGAGCTAAATCCTTGCATACATGGGCCAAAAAGACGACAACAATATTTCATGACGACTGTTTTTACATCACAAAATAAAACAAAAAAAGGAAAAAACAAATTATCTAAAGGAAATGAGAGGAAAGGAAAGGGGTCGAGAGAGGTAAAAAAAAAAAGGGATATAGTAGAAAGAGTGGTCCCCGACCCCCAATTTTTCCTTAAGATTTTATGAGGCAACAAAAGAAGGGGTGCATTACCACTTTTTAGGAGAACTTATTCAAATCACATTCTGGACGGTCCAGTCCAAAACCAAAAAAAGAAAAACAAAGAGTATATTTCTTAAAACATCGAATTCAAGTTTTCAACCATGATAGACAATAAATATTTTATTTTCCCTTTTTTTATATTAAAAGAAAAAATAAAATTTACAAGTCTCTCTCCGTTATCAGTTTGGGTATGGATATTGGTATTTGGTGGTGCTGTCATATTGGTAACTAATATAATTAGGGTATGATCTTAACCTCTCGAATTAACTGTCGCTTTTGATGGCAACCCTATTTGCAAGCGCATCAACATCATGTACCAACACCATGCTACACGTCTCCATCCAATCCAACACCATATATAATAATCAAATCGTTAATTTATGCAAGACGGTATCATTATGAGGTAATCTCAAACAAACTAGAACATAAATCCATCATGAATTATATAACATGGTACAACTCTTCATGCCCCAGAATATATATATATATATATATATAAAGAATTTCACCAATAAAAACAAAAAACAGAAACACCCAACGATTCCTCTCCTTCCTCCCCTGCACTTCTGTAAAACCTTAAAAATTCAACCTCCATAAAAGGTTCCCTTCTGAAAAACCCAAGGACTTATTATCATAAACAAATTGGTTTAAATTCATCTTTTTAATTCTAAGAACAGGAAGGTTCCGCCAGAAACAAACAAGGTTGAGATTTACGACCCTTTTAGCTTTATTCCTATTGACATGGATTGTCAATGAAATTGAAAGAAGAAGAAAAAAAGGCTATGATAGAAGGACTAGCTTCAAATCTAAAAGTTCCAAAAATTTAAAAACCCAAATGGTTGTTCTCTCATCGTTGTGCTACAGTGTCAAGATCTAATTACGAACATAACCAAACTTGCAACCTTGCTTAATTCAATTTAATCTGATGCGGTGGCAAAATCCAAGTACATGACTTGGCCTGTACCAAGAATTCCATAAAGATTGGCAGCGTTCTAGGGTTTCTTTTTGCTGTTGGGGGTTGGAGGAGGCTAGGGGCTCAGCGTTGAATGATGATTGGTGTTTTTTACTTCTTTGAAGCAAATGACAAGTCGTGCAATGAGCCCAGATATAAGCCCAAGTACGAATTAGCTGAAAACAAAACAAAACCCAACTGTAAAAAATAGTCGGCCCAAGGAGCCCAACCATATAAAAACTAGGAGACTCGATTAAGATGGCCCAAAAATATAGTAAACGACATCATTGTACGGAAAGACTATAATGAGGGTTTAAAATGAGGAGGTTATTAAAGGAGGTCAAATCTCACAATCAACAAATGTAAAGAAATCATGGGACTTAAATATTTTAAATGTTTTGACGGTCGGATTGATCTCCTCACTTTAACTTCTCATTGTAGAAGCTCCCTTGTACGGAATTGTATAGGGTACATGAATGAATTGATAAAAATAGGCACGCGGCACGTCGTATTTAAAAATGGGGGAGGTGGAATGGAAGGAACATGATCTGGATCCAATCTATAAAAAGGAGGTAAAATTACTTTATTTATCAGTTCACGATTCATCTTTTTTTAAGACACCGACCTTTTCATTGTTTGTGATATATATATATTATTTGTAGATGATGATGGGCCTTTATGTCATGACTCAGCAACAAATATATTTTACTTTATTATCATTATCAGACCTTTTTCTTTAATCACATCAATTGGGATGGTGTCTAAGCAAGGAGCATGTGACAATGTCAATGTTGATATACCACCAATGGCTAGAATAGAAGGCCGCCTAAACTAGACATATATATATTATAAATGACAAGTACAATGCTACTACTGGTTCGAATGAATATATATATATATATTATAAATGACAAGTACAATGCTACTACTGGTTCGAATGAATATATATATATATATATATGTATGGCAGAGAGAAGAGAGCACACTGAGGAACGAGTGCTTATTAATTAGCCTAATTTAATTGTTATATCTCAATGGTCGGTGGGGTGCATGGTAACAGCTTACGTCACCACCAATATCTGAATGCGTGAGACACGCTTCATATAATTCAGAATTACGTATATCATGTATGTGTCCATTAATTTGATTAAAAATTAGATTTAATTATTTTTCTAGAAGCCCTTTTACGTACCTTCAGACCTTGGCATGGGATGGGAGGTAGTGTAGGGGAAGCACCAAAAGATATGCTTTCGAAAGTTGGAGTTTGATGCATGCGTTGCGTTGCGTTGCGTTGCGTGTAGAAGAAAACAAGTATTCTGCAGTTTTAATTAGACTGTTTTTATGTATCCCTCGTCCTCGTGTCGTGGTATGTCTGGTTTTCAAGTAACATGAATGAATCATATTTGACAGACATAGGTGAAGGGTTCAAGGGTAGGTAAATATGTAATGAAATAAAAGAAACTTGAAGTAAAAATAATAATTATCATGTCCCATCCCATGGACATTGTCACACACACCACACGTTTTTCTTTTCTTTCTCAAGGAAGGAAGGGTACACTCATTCCTTTTGCCACTCAAGGCAAAGGGCTAACGTCGACATTGCTTGCTGCTTTATTTTTCATTTCTCCTTATTATTTTCTGTTTTCTTTACCCAATATCTTGATGAAAAAAGCATGCATCAAGGCTAGGGTAGCGATCTATATAATCTACTCGTGTAAGCCAACGACTGGGCCTGGTGTTAAAAATCTTATATTCGTTCGGAAGAAACTCCCATAAATAGAAACTTGTTTGCCAGACAAAATATATATATATGCATATGCATGAATATTAACGCAATGTTGGTCGTGCATGGCGGCTAAGTCTTTGTCACGCTCACTGACTGTGCCGTGGAAATGTAATTAATTGACATTTGAGTCATTTGACAAACCAAACTATACAACTTTCGGTGCCTGCAGGCGTGGTAAGAATTGAATCTGGCTGCGTCTGTATTGTATATATACAGGTTGTAATTCAATCACGACAACAACGTGCCAATTGCTCCCGCCCGCAGAGTCATTCATCGGAAGATTTTTATTTGTCAGCAGTGGCTGAAAAGATGCCACGTATGTAGTAGTATCATGAGATCAATCTCATATTTTGATATCAAAAATACTAGTCATATCATATTTTGTTGTATATCACATTACGAATAAATGTAGATCCCATCTTTATTAGAAAAAAGACAGGTACATAATATTTATATAAATGTGGTATGCATTTATCGTTTTATATATATATATATATATATATATATATATAATATCAAATACGTACCAAATTAAATTGTATATTTAGTACCGCCACCACAGCCAATTGTTTCCCCATCCCCACAAACAAATACAAATTAAATGAGATGAAATGCCACTATTTTAATAAAGTTGCCATCACTCTCCTTCCCTTCCCTGCAAATGAGGTCGGGGGGATGATTATAACAGAATGCTGGGACCCAGCTAGTTGAATACGTGTGTGGCTAGGATGCGTCGAGTCCCTATCTGCCCATCCCAATTACGAGAAACCCGAGGACGACATCAATGGCCAAAATCTCCCCAACGGCTATTTCCAATTGCACGATCCAACGGTGAACCGCGAACTGGCGGTTGCCGCCCTACAGTATCCTTGGTCTCTCTCTCGTAGACCAAGAGGGGTAGGGTAGAGGCAACGGTTGTCTGTCAAATATGACATGTATAATCTTAAAATATTTATAAAAATAATAAAATACAAAGTAAACAATGAATAAAGTAGCCGTTGGGAGCCTTCCTCTATAAAAAGGAGGTAAGAGGTACAGAGCTAAGTTCAAGATATTCCTCAAGGTCAAGGTAGCGCAAAGTATACCAAAATAATTCAACCCTTTGAATCAGGGTTTCTGAGATCCGCTCCGGATCAGAAGATTTATTTACTCATTATCTCTCTAATTCTAATCCGTGTGCTAGATTAAAATTCCTAGTTTTAACTTACTTAAACGTCTAAATTTCTTGTTACCAACTTTATGTAGAAAAATCTTGCAAATCAAAGAGTTTTTCTTCTCTCCATTCAAATTGCAAATCTTCAGCTTTTTCTCTACGTGCTTTGTTGATCTTTATCTTTCATTTTTGTTATATATTCACTTCATTAGACATCAGAAAAGCTGCAATCTGGCTATGGAGGCTGTTGTTGCAGACCAGTCAATCTCTGCCTGCAAGCAGATTAAAATGATCAGAACAACCCCAAGATCCTCTGAAAATCTTGCTCCCATAAATTACAACATCCATGGAGGTCTCTTGCAGGCTCCTCCTCCACCTTCTCTCTCATTTTCATATAACCCTCCAGCTTCTCTCTACAATAAATATCGGTACCAGCAACTTCAACAAGTACAGAGGCAGCAGCAACAACACCCACCTCTCCTTCCTCTGCCGGTTCCAAACAGACCTCCTCATCATCACCAGTCTCTGCCATCTCTCCCATCTCGTACCCGAGGCCTCTCTCGCCCTCCCCCCACCAGAAAGGCCAACAACGCCAGAAGCCAATCTCTCACACCCAAGAAACCAAAGTCAAAGCCCTCCAAGAAAGAAGAAGCTAAGCAAATATCTGACTGCTTGATCATTGCTTCCACCAACCGTTTGGGACCCGACCCGAATGATCTTCCCAAAGATGTTACTAAGGTTTTGATGACATCATCATCATCATCTTCATCTTCATCTTCATCTTCATCATCAATTGGTAATATGAGGGATCTTAGTGGTGGTGGTGTTGGTGTGGGAGATATGGATAAGTTTTCAGGTTCCATTTTCACTCTCTCGCCACCTCCGAGTAGCTTGCCTCTCCCGAGGTTTTCTCTGCAGCGAAGACTCAGTCGCAACGCCGAAGCTGCGGGGATCGACGCAGGAGCAACGGACAATCTCCGCCGTCTGTTACGTCTCCGCTGAACGGCTGAAGTTGTTGTTTGGTTTAGTACGTAGTGGTTTTGGTGGTGGTGACCATGGTTTGTTTGTAGGTTGGTGTCTTTTGTGTGAATAAAGGCTTCGTGGTTGGGTGATATTATCATGAAATCCCTCTCCTCCCTTGTCCTTCCTTCTCCTTGAGGAAATTTGTGATCACCACCTGTGTTTTTGATTGGGTGCACAAAAAAAATACTTCAAGGATGTTTTTTTTTTCTTTTAATTTGTTTTTCTTTTGTTGGTCAATCTCGTAATAATATAATTTATGACTAAGAGAATGGTTTTAGTTTTTGATTTATAAGTTATATAACCTATACAATTGTTCTGATTCTGGTTGGTTGCAATCTGTTTTCATACCATGCTGCAAAAGAGTTGAAAAATATCAAGTTCCTTTCATTTTGGCAACCGCGTTCTTGTCATTTAGTAATATGGCGTGAAGAGAAGGGAACGGAAAGCAAAGAACACAAGGAAAACAATTTGCATTAACATTTGGTAGTGATCTCATATCATCGTTGTGGGAACCGAATTTTAGCCAAACTCTAGGTCAAATATTTTCTTTAATTTGGAGATTATTTAGCTTAATTGGGAGTATTTGATTCAATTGACTCCAAATTGGGGAAGAATAATTCATTTCAATTTGTGAAATTATTCTTCCGAAACCCTAGCCTCCAAGGCTCTTATAAATACATCGGTACACTAAGGTTTGAGGTAATTCTAAACCTACGTCTAAACTTCTATCTCAAAATACTGTAGAAATTCTATCTCCAAAACCCTAGCTGCCATAACTCTATCCTTCTCACACAAGACTTAGACACACGGCTCTAGCCACCCAGTTCACACAATACATACATCTATTTACCTTTTTTGTCAGCTATTATTTTTCTACAAACACTTGAACTAACTTAGGCATCAGAGGGCCTTTGGCAAACACCCCTCGGGTGTGGTCTTCTTATTTCGATTTATTTTGCTGGGAGAAAGAGACAACGAAGAAGAAGACGAAATCTTAGACGAATATTCTCGTGGGATGAAAATTGCTCCCACAATCGTAGAAGAAAAATTAATTAGTATTAGAAAAACACCTGTGTGGAATAATATGTATGCTAATTGCTCATACTCATTGTGGCCACATTTTTCAAATGTTTTGGCATCTGTCTGTTTAAGAGGAAAAATTAAAAGAAGATTCCCAAACAAATAGCATAGGCTAGCTCACCTTAAATGAAAACTGAAAAGCATAGCTACCTTTTGCAGTTGCACTTTTTCTTCACGAATTATTGATATGCCTAGCTCCCTTCTAATATCCTGCAACAAGGACACATATAGAGTAACACCTAGGTGCTCCTGTGATGCCGACAACTCAATCCAAGCATCGGCATCTCTCTCTGAGTGCCGGTACACACACAAAAGCATGCATAGATTAAGTCTAAAGTGATTATGAACTTTCTTCTTTTGCATCACTACATAATCAACATCAGTACGTAGTATCCACCAAATGCAGCCACTGTGAAAGACATAAGAACTTGTCAGTTTTGGGCGTACCTCAGCCGTGGCTGTGTAGGATATTTCTCTTCCGGAGATCTCTGGAGACCCTGAATTTGGCAAATGCAGGTTAACATGAAATCAAGTCTGAAAGCAGAATCAAACTCTCAAACCTGGGACTGAGAGTCTCCTAAATCCCAACATTGCCCTATTTTTATTTTAATATTTAGTATGATTTTTCAGTTTTGGGCTAGCTGGTTGAACCTTCATTAGTTTACGAAGGCCCAAATTTCAAAATCCAAATAAGAATTTAGAAACAAGCTCATAAATTATTTTTTTCGGGCTGTGGCTATTTTCTCCCAAACGTGGGTTGGGCGGCGGCTGCAGGGCCATGTTCATTCCTTGGAGCTTCTGTCAATCTGGCAATGGCATGGTGATATATGATCCACGGTGTCTTTTAATTATGGATTGAATTTCTTTCCACACAACACAACAGCTCAAGTGAAGGCTACAAAAGACGGCAATAAAGATTCAAAAGTCAGTTAATAAGTAGCCGAGTTGTTTGTTGGCTTGCTGCCCAACTACGTTATAGCTTTGGCATTAATTGGGGGGAAATAGACTTCACGACCTCACCTAGGCCTGTTCCTTTTAGGCTCATCTAATTCCAATTGTTCGCTCTCTCCCTCTTTCTGTTCTCAGCAACTTTGGCTACGTACATTTTTCTACAAATGGAAGAAGTGGAGCTTGTCTTCAATAAGCTTTCAGACGGAGACAACAACCCACTTCCGAAAATGGAGCAACCAATGAGTTCAAGCAAGCACCGCAGTGTTTCATTAGTCGGCCTTTTTGCTGCTGCTGATAAAGTGGACTTTGTCTTGATGCTTTTCGGAAGTGTCGGGGCCTGCATACATGGTGCTGTGCTTCCTGTGTTCTTTGTTTTGTTTGGTCGTATGATTGATTCTCTGGGACATCTGGCAAAGCATCCTCAACAATTGTCTTCCCGGGTTTCCCAGGTAAAATCAAACATTTCATTTTCAGACTAGCATTTGAATTTGATAACCCTTTTCGTCCCACACTGACACTAATATGGTTGAATTTTGGAGGTTAAATGAGTTTCCATGATGTTCTGTTTTGTTAAAATTTATCAGTCATCTCGCATATCATATATGTATGTTTATATCTTTAGTGTTACTTTTGGTTCTCTTCTCATTTACAGTCGACAACTGTATTATCTGACTTTTGCTCCTTCTCATATTTGCATGCAGCACGCTTTGTACTTGGTGTATCTTGGACTCATTCTTTTTGCATCAGCCTGGATTGGTATGCTTGATCACTTCAGTTTTCAAACTCATCTTGCTGGCAAAGTTATCTCTTAGAGCGAGCAACCAACTACTTTTCTTAATTTTATTCACTTTAAACAGAGCATCAATGCCCTGGTTGACATTTTTTTGATTTTCAGGTGTCGCTTTCTGGATGCGAACCGGGGAGAGGCAGACAGCTCGTTTGCGGTTGAAGTATCTCCAGTCAGTTCTAAAACAGGATATCAATTTTTTCGACACTGAAGCCAGAGACACCAATATTATTTTCCATATTTCAAGTGATGCAATTCTAGTACAAGATGCAATAGGTGACAAGGTAATTAGCGGGAAAAAAAGAAAATGATGCTATGCTTGATTCTGTAGTGAAATTTTCTGAAGAAGGGGGTACTTAAAGATACATAGATGACATAGTTAGTTAACATTGTTCCTTGTATCTTAATGCAGACAGGCCATGCTCTGCGTTACCTCTCACAGTTCATAGTTGGGTTTGGCATTGGGTTTACGTCGGTATGGCAGCTTACGCTTCTGACCTTGGCTGTGGTTCCATTGATAGCTATTGCAGGGGGAGCTTATACAATAATCATGTCTACCTTATCAGAAAAGGGTGAGGCTGCTTATGCTGAAGCCGGAAAAGTTGCTGAAGAGGTAAACTGTACTTGGTGTATCTTCTTCTGCTACGCTAGGTAGTTCTTGTAATTTCAAGCATGATATATGTATATATTTGAGAATCTTTAATTTGGGGCTGAATTTTATGAATCTGGCCACCCATGCATCCTTTTATTTTTCTCTCACATTTTGCATGGACCAGGTTATTTCGCAGATTCGTACTGTGTACTCATTTGGGGGAGAGCACAGAGCCATTGAAGCATACTCAAATTCACTTAATAAGGCCCTCAAATTGGGTAAAAAGGGTGGATTTGCAAAAGGAGTTGGTGTAGGCTTTACATATGGACTGTTGTTTTGTGCTTGGGCATTGCTTCTCTGGTATGCTGGCATACTTGTAAGGCATCATGACACAAATGGAGGGAAAGCATTCACAACAATTATCAATGTCATCTTTAGTGGATTGTAAGTCCACTCTAAATATGTAATGGGGTTCCTTTGTTGGTTTGGTATTTTTTTTTTGTTTCCTGATTAAAAGCAGACTTTTTTCTTCTCTAGTGCTCTTGGTCAAGCTGCTCCAAACCTTGCTGCCATTGCTAAAGGCCGAGCTGCTGCGGCCAATATCATGAAGATGATTGAGACAGATTCTAACTCCTCTAAGGTCTCAGACAATGGAATAGTATTGCCAAAAGTATCTGGGCAGATTGACTTTTGTGAGGTTGGTTTTGCCTATCCATCACGACCTAATAGGGTGTTAGAAAATCTGAGCTTTTCTATTGGCGCTGGCAAGACTTTTGCTGTTGTTGGTCCCAGTGGTTCTGGAAAGAGCACTATTATATCCATGATCCAACGATTCTACAACCCCGTTTCAGGTTTATTTAATTAATCTCTTTAAATCCAAACCATGACTTAATTATAAAATTCATTAGTTTTCTTCTTGGACAATCAATTTTTAACTAAAAGATCTTGTATCGCTTATGAACCAACTTTTGCTAGGTAAAATACTGTTGGATGGACATGATGTTGGAATTCTCCAATTAAAATGGTTACGAGAACAGATGGGATTGGTAAGCCAAGAGCCAGCATTGTTTGCCACCACCATAGCTGGTAACATTCTGTTTGGTAAAGAAGACGCGGACATGGATCAAATCATAGAAGCTGCTAAAGCTGCAAATGCACATTCTTTCATTCAAGGATTACCAGATGGCTACTACACTCAGGTGCACCATTACATCATCATCATCTCCTCGACTGAGTTATTATATATGAAACCATATATACTTAACTAATTAAATTGAAGTGTCTATGATAGCCATAACCAATTATTGAATTCAGGCAGGAGAGGGAGGAACTCAGCTTTCAGGAGGGCAAAAGCAGAGAATAGCTATTGCAAGAGCAAAACAAAATCATGTCACATCGAACTACAATCACTGTTGCTCATCGGCTGTCCACTATCCGAGATGTGGATACAATCATTGTCTTGAAGAATGGCCAGGTTGTTGAGAGTGGTAACCATTCAGAATTGATATCCAAGAAAGGGGAGTATGAAAATCTGGTGAGCTTGCAGGTATTGGAACGTGTTAAAGATTCCAAGTTAACATCTGGCCATTCTTCAAGAGATTCTAGCTTTCGAGAAACCACGAACAACTATCAGCAGGAGGCTAAGCCAATCACAATAAGACAGCAGAATCCAAGCTCTGCTCCTTCTGCATCAATATGGGAATTAATAAAACTAAATGCCCCTGAGTGGCCCCATGCGATACTCGGGTCAGTTGGTGCAGTTCTGGCCGGAATGGAAGCTCCTCTTTTTGCTCTTTTAATAACTGATATATTGACAGCGTTTTATGCTCCCACTGGTTCTCAAATTAAACAAGAGGTTAAAAAGGTATCTCTCATATTTGTTGGAGTGGCCGTTGCTACTGTTCCAATATATCTTCTGCAACACTATTTCTATACATTGATGGGGGAGCGGCTCACAACTCGTGTTCGCTTATTAATGTTCACAGGTTCTTTTCTACTCACCATTCAAACCTCAAAGCTCAAATTATATTTCCAATTTCAAGTGCAAAATGATAGGTTAGTATAATTTAAGAATGATAAACCTACAAATAGAGATGGAGACATGCTTGCAATTGCAATAAAACAACTTATTCATCGTTCACATCATTTACATTACGAAATCAAGAAAATCTGAGAAATCTTTCTTGTTTCAACTGCAGCTATGCTTTCCAACGAAGTTGGTTGGTTTGATTTGGATGAGAATAACACTGGAGCACTGACCTCAATTTTAGCAGCAAATGCAACATTAGTGCGAAGTGCTCTAGCTGACCGTCTATCAACAATTGTGCAGAATCTAGCACTCACAGCGACTGCATTTGTTATTGCCTTCACCCTAAGTTGGCGTATTGCAGCTGTTGTCATTGCCTCTCTCCCACTACTTATTGGAGCTTCCATTGCTGAGGTCAGAGTCACATACCACCATTATGTTAAAGCGCATAATGTATATGTTTCAATCATCTAATTGCTTTTTTTATCCTTAATCCAATATATGTTGGTTTTCTTGATTTTATATCTGCAGCAACTGTTTCTAAAGGGATTTGGAGGGGACTATAACCGTGCCTACTCTAAAGCAACGGCTGTGGCACGTGAAGCAATTGCCAATATCCGTACGGTTGCTGCATTTGGTTGTGAAGAACGGATAGCAATCCAATTCTCCTCAGAACTAAACCAGCCAAACAAGCAAGCAGTTATAAGAGGCCACATATCAGGTTTCTGCTATGGTTTGTCGCAGTTTTTTGCATTCTGTTCCTATGCACTTGGCCTTTGGTATGCATCAATACTAATCAAGCATAAAGACTCAAATTTTGGAGACATCATGAAGTCCTTTATGGTCTTAATAATCACCGCTCTGTCAATAGCAGAAACTCTAGCTCTCACACCAGACATTGTGAAGGGATCACAAGCACTTGGCTCAATTTTCAGAATACTAAAAAGAGAAACAGCCATAAATCCAAATGCTCCCAAATCAAATGTTGTCGCTGATGTCAAAGGAGATATAGAATTCAGGAATGTGAGTTTCTGGTACCCTGCAAGGCCGGATATCACCATTTTCGACAATTTGAATTTAAGGGTCTCGGCAGGAAAGAGTCTTGCAGTTGTCGGCCCAAGCGGGTCGGGGAAGAGTAGTGTGATTGCACTAGTAATGAGATTTTATGACCCCATTTCTGGAACAGTTGTTATTGATGGATATGATATCAAAAGCTTAAACTTGAAATCGTTAAGGAAGAAGATAAGTCTAGTTCAGCAAGAGCCAGCATTGTTCTCTACGACAGTTTATGAGAATATCAAGTATGGGAATGAGGAAGCATCCGACGTTGAGGTGATAAGGGCTGCCAAAGCAGCAAATGCAGATAGTTTCATAAGTAGAATGCCTGAAGGGTACAAAACTCAAGTTGGGGAGAAAGGAGTGCAGTTATCAGGAGGACAGAAACAAAGGGTGGCAATTGCTAGAGCAATATTGAAAGATCCATCGATTCTTCTTTTAGATGAAGCAACAAGTGCATTGGACACAGAGTCTGAGAAGCTTGTTCAAGAGGCTCTTGATAAGCTAATGGAAGGCCGAACAACAATTTTGGTCGCACACAGATTGTCAACTATCCGGGATGCGAATAGAATTGCTCTGCTGCAAAATGGTAGGGTGGTAGAAATGGGAAGCCACGAGCAACTGATTGGAAGACCCGGTAGTCTCTATAAAGAACTAGTTAGTCTACAGCAAGAAAAGAGTGGAGGGATTCATTAATTCAAAGGCAGCATTATTATTATTATGTGGTATACTTCCTATAACCAAAGGTAAAGCATAAGAATCTTTTCGATTACAAGCTAAGATAAGAATAGGCATTTTTCGGAGGGATGTATTAAATTAATAAAGACCACTATTGTATATTTTTGGCTTATGCTGTGTGATACAGACATTAATATTATTTGTAAAGAGATAATGCAATATTGCAAAGGTATACATTTCTTTTTATGGGATTCAAATATCACTAAAAACTTGGTCCAAAATCATGAGTTTGCGGGGGAAAAGTTTAACCAAATCAAAATGCCATTACTCGGAGTTCCATTACGCAACCTGATAAGAACATAAACCATAACGCAAAACCTGTAAATAGCCAAACTTTTGTATTATCAAACATTTAAAATGAGGAATGACAATTATGAATACATTGGAACCAATAACATCTGTCATAATAGGGATCTTCATCACCTCTGGTATATGTATGAGAGAGACACAGAGGTACGTGCGTTAACAAGGCTAACCATGAGTTACGCTACGTGAAAACATGTCTTAAACAAACCATCTAATGCTATCACATGAATCCCTAGAATGTCAGTGAATGCTATACATACACCACAGCTTGCTGCATCCTCAAAGGACTTCAACTACAAAGGAGGTAGTGATGAAGAAAGGCCAGCCAGTCAACACATCATCTCATAAATCTACTTGTTACTTATCACAATATGGAGCAAGCCTTTTGTCCCTTTCTCTTTTTCTTCTTTTGCTTTGGCGGCTGGAGCACAACCTTAATGGCCGCATCAAAAACAGCCTTCACATTCTGCCATTACAATTGTCAATGAATCCCATCAATAACGGGGGTTGAATACACATGAAAAATTGAGGAAGAGGGGAAGAAGAAAAATATGCATACCTGTTGTGTTTTTGAGCTACACTCAATATATGCTGGTGCTCCAATTAGTTTCCTCATTTCCTCTCCCTTTAGGCAAAAACAGTAATCGAAGGTCAGTAGACCAACTTTAAAAAATATTCAGATTTGGGGGCGAAGCAGTAGTCTTTACCTGAGCAGTATTAATGGGAACTGCACCAGAATGGTCAATAAAAAATTGTTTATCATCCCGAAGATCTGCAAATGAAAATCACAAAATTGAGCCCGTTCATCAAAATAGTAAGAAAATTCAGTAGTAACTAATAAATGATAGTAATAAATGCTCCAAATAATGATAAGAAATGTTGACTCAAGAACAGGAAAGAAAGTGATCAATTGCTGCAGGACTAAGTAAACAAAAGATCAACCTTGATAACAGTGCAGTATTGAATAAAATATCAAATTAAGAACTAGTATTCAATGCACACTCACCAAAAGAAGTTTAGAAATGAGAAGACTAACAAGAGCAGAGCAATACAGCTCTGCTGTACCTTGATGCTGATCTTTACATGGAAGAAATGAGAAGTATAGTCCATAGCCAGTCCCAAAAGTTACAGGGACCATAATGCACCAGACCAGACACCAGCACAAACATAGCAAAATTATCATGCACCAGAACAATATACCAATGCATTATACAAGAAGGGCTGAAACAAGATCTTACCAAGCTTTGTTCCAACCAGAATTATTGGAACGCCGGGTGCATAATGCTGCAGTTCAGGAATCCACTGAAAAGGAAAACAAAATTTCAAACAACTTATCCACACACCAATGATGAAGACGTCATAAGTTAAGATCATTGCAAATAAAGATAAAAATGTTTATAAAGAAGATTTGGAACCTTTTTTGCAACGTTTTCATAGCTGGCTTTGCTTATGAGAGAAAAAGCGAGGATAAAGACATCTGCCCCTCGATAGCTCAAGGGCCTTAATCTATTGTAATCCTCCTGCCCTGTTAGAAAATTGTTAATACAATTCCCAAACTAAAGAACAAAAAAAGCAAACAAAAACAAAGCAAAGAAAATGAATCCACATATTCAAAAGGGGAGTAGTAAAATCACCAGCTGTATCCCATAGTGCTAAATTGACAGTGCTTCCATCCACAACAACATTAGCACTGAAATTGTCGAAAACAGTCGGCACGTAGTCCTGTTGTGCGTGATAGTAAACAAAGCAAAGGCACACTAAGTCAATGATATGCAACCCAAGTTCGCCTATATGAAGTAGCAGGATCACAACTCTAAAAGAAAAGAACCCTAAACACCACACACAAAGCAATGCACCATAATGTGTCAACAAAAATTAACAAGAATTAAGAGCGCATACAATTTCATGAAGCAAAATTAATGTCATTCTTGACCTAAATCAAGGTTTGGACTTTGGTGAAATATTATTAAGCTTTATTGGCCAAATGAGCAGCTAATATAGAAATTATGTCACTTTACCCCCGAAGTTACCGGAGGAAGAAGCAAAAACTAAAGCATATGAAAATACATAAGCAATTGTACTTAAATGGGAAGAAGGAGGCCAGTAAATTTACGAAAATGGGACTGACCGTAGGAAAGGTGTTGCTGGTGTAGGAAATCAGCATGCAGGTTTTGCCGACAGCACCGTCACCGACTGTCACGCACTTTATGAACCTGGAGGCGCTCATTTCAATTTTCTACCCTAGAGAGAGAAGCAGCAGATCTCCACCCAAAGATGTCACTTTTTCTTCCTTCAACTTCCTAGGATCACCAAGAACCCATATTTTGCTAATAAACCCTAATTTGCCAAGGGAAAAAGAGAGTGTAGCACTGTGGCCCGTGGGAGAAGAAACTGAAACTGATAGAGAGAAAACAGAGAGTCAAAAAGTCAAATTGTAATTGAAGCGCTTGCTGACGTAGCCATTAGCCAAGCCAATCTTTAGCCAGCTAGCACACCTTCCTTATCTGCTTATCTTTTTCTTTTTTTCTTTCTTCTTTCTTTCTGGATCAAATTTATTTGATTTCTACTTATTTGAAACTTTGACCATACTTTGCCGCCCATCCCCCCCCCCCGGCCCCAAAAAAAAAACCACAGATGCTAAATTTTCTTGCTGCTTGTTGCCCAGAGTTGAGAGGCTTGGAGGGAGTAGCCTGGAAGGTAATGGGCTTTGGGCTTTGGGCTTTGGGCTTTTGAAGAGAATAACGCCTGGAAGGTGGCCTTTTATTACTCAAAGAAGAACTCCACCTTGTACCAGTCACGACCCATGTGATCAATAGAGACATCCCTTTGCAGATTTTTCCATTCAATTGGTAAGTTAACTATGCACAAATATCATCCAAACTAGTCTTCGAACTCATCTCAGCTTGTTCCAAAATCGTTCGCAAGCTTCGAATCCAAACCTAGACCTACTATAGGATACTTTGGACTTGATTAGACTTGGATATTCATGTAACTCAATATGGGCTTTATGATTAAAGTTTCGATATTAATCTTAGGTTAGTACAACATAACCGGACCTAATTTTGACTTGTTTCGGTGAATTTTGTCGAGATAGACATAGAAGGATTTTTTTTTTAAAATTAAATACTATTTATTAAGTAAAGAGGAAATCCCAACTAATTTGTATGAATTTTTTTTAAAAAAAACAGTGCACAAAATAATATAAAATAATTAATTAATATATATTGAGTAATTTATGAAATTAATTAAAATATTTACACTTATGAAATGAAATTAATTAAAATAATAGTGAAAGAAACAGTTCAGAAAGAAAATGAGAGGATTATTTACGCTTACGCCTGTTTATCCAATACCACGTTTCCCATAATTTGAATGTAACAACACTAATTATACATACAATTTCAACTGAGTTGCATACAAAATAATCCTTCAGATCTCCAATCAACTTGAAATCTAACAATATCATTTCCCAGAGAAATAAATAAATAAATAAATAAATAACAAGCTTCGCTGCAATGTCAATCCCAAACTTCATGTAGAGCTTTTGTACGCTAGAAGGACTTTGTCCTGTTGACAAGCGGCAACTGCCTAAAGG